GATCGTAGGAGTTTGACTCTCTGGTGTTTTGTTTGATTCTCTGAGGGGGTGCTGCAGGAGTTTGGGGTGCTGGGGTCACTTCTAAAGGTTTTCCTGTTAGGTTAGATTAGGTTAGGTTTATTTGTCATGTGCAAAATCAACACAAGGTCAACAATGCAATGAAATGCTTAGGACGAGCAGAACCGTCTCCAGGTTTTCCTGCAGAACTGAACGTGTCCGTACTGCATGTGCAGGCAGATGGAGGATCTTGTTAGCAGCGTTAGCAGGTCCTGTCTGCAGCTTGATGATAATAACGACAGCAGCAGCTGCCTTCCAAGACAGTCTTCCAGAACTGGGTCCAGCAGACAGAGAACATCCAAGGTTTTCCCCACGGACCCGAACAGGTCCATAGAGTTTGGTTCATGCAGGCAGATTGAGGATCATGGACAGCCGCCATGACAGGCCAGAGCTTAGGCCCGAGGCTGGGGGGGGCAGGAACTGAACCACAATGGCATGATGGCAGGAAGCGACACACAAAACTTCACAAGTGTGTCACGGTCATACCCGTACCGTGGATGTGCATTGTAGGTGCAAAAAAAGTTAAAATAAAAACAAGAATAAAAAATGGTCGAGTTGAAGCAGAGCTCCCGTCAGTGCCATTCTGCAGCGCACGTGACGTCAGAGAGTCCTGTCCTGTCCTTGTATAACCAAAGTGAGTGTTGTGTCCACATCCTTGGCACAAAGTCGAGCTCGTTTCTGTTGTGGGTTGGACTCCACCTGCTCTATTCCTGGTCTCCAATCCTCATAGATGGGATCTCTAGATGGAACCGTGGAGAGGAAGGTCAGAACCTGAGGGTTTCTTCTGCTTTTTGAGGCTGATGTGCTTCTCTTGGCGTCTTCAGATCATGACCATCAGTGTGCAATGTCGGAGGTTCTGGCGTGGAGTCCACAACTGAGGCCTTGGTTCTCAAGCGGAGGAGTTCAAGATTTTGTGAGTCGTCCACATGTGAAAATCAAATCTCCTGATTTTTGGATCAGCCTACGGTTCATCTGCACTTGCCGAGGTGTGGCTCATGACCGGAAGAGTGAGATTACTTCCTCTGCAGAGGAGCTCCATCATACATGAGGAGCTCCGAGTAGAACCGATGCTCCTCCACACCAACAGGAATCAGCTGAGGTGGTTTGGACATCTGGTTAAGATGCCTCCTGCTTGCCTCCTTCTAGAGGGGTTCCTGGCACTGTGAGATGACCCTGTGGCAGACCCAGAACTTCCTGCAGACGGTATTTATTCTCTCTGGTCTGGGAACAATTTGGGATCTCTTAGGAGGAGCTGGAGGGTGTCGCTGAGGAGAGTAAAGTCTGATTTCCCTCCTGGACCTGTTGCCTCTTTGTTCTGAGCAGAAGACAGTGAATGGATACATAAATACAGGAAAAGATTTTAACTTTCGGTTGAATCGTTGGAACGTTTTCTTTGAGATAACAAATAAAGACTCCCTGCTGTTTTCACAGCTTCTCCTTTGAAAATCACAAAAGCCGTCTGGATTAGGAGTTGGGATTTTAGGGAAAAAAAAAAACTTCATTATAGAAGTTTCGTCACGCACACAGGTGAAGGAACAAACAAAGACTGAACTCATCACCAACAGGGAATTCCAAGAAGCAAAAACCTGAGAGTTTTTTTCTTTCATCTTTCACTGCCGGGTGCTCCTGGTGACGTCCGATGATCGTCTCGGGAGACAGCGTGGTCTTCAGAGGACGGGAACGAGCTCATGAAGGACAGCTGATGTTTAGAGACAGATTGCTTTTGGGCTCTTATGAGCTGATGTGTCCAAATCTCTTCTAACTCCTCTTTAGTGTCACATAATATGACAAGCTGACATGCAGGAAAACCCTGTCGGAGACATTTTACGATCACTGACAGACTTTACCCATCTGATGAAGACGTCGCAGACAGCAGCAGAATGTGCTCCGCTGGTGATGAAGCTGTAGTCAGACACATCACAGCAATGACACAGAAAATCAGGAAGCTCGTCGCAGGAGGAAAAATGTCCTAAAAAGTGCAGGTAATCTCATTAAAGGGTGTATTTTCACCCAGACCATGACGTTTATCTTTTCTAAAGTTACCCAGTGACTTCAACATGAGGCATGAAAAAGCATTAAATATGGAGTCAGGCCACGTCCTTGTGATGACACCTTGTTGGCTAAAGTCATAAAATAACATCATTCTGTCGCACCCAATCCTTTAATTTGTTATTTTCTCATTTTTTATAAAATATGACAGAACGAAACTCTGATCTTCTTTTTTTTTAAACCATAATTCTAACAAGTGATGGCATAAGGGGACCCACAAAAAGCTTATAATGTAAATAATGACATGAAACACCACACTACTTACATCTAGTATATGGTTTCTTGTATGAGATTTTGTTAATTTGGGTGAATTTATGTAAAATATGCTGTTAAATTATTGTTCTAATTGTTTAAAAGGAATTAAGTGTCAGGAGGGTTGTCTGCACAGTCATAATCATCTTTCTTCCTGAGTGTGTGGAGAGTGGGCGTTCCTGAGGCAACTCTACCATCTGTCAGCTGATTCACTACCATGAAATTTAAGGCTGAGCTGGGTCATCATTTTTCGTTGGATTGATAAAGTCACTCGGTGATAGATTTATACAACTGTATTCTTTTCTCGAGAAGTTAGATAGTTAATCTTGCTTACCTGTGTTCCAGAAAACCTTCTTTGAGTTCACGGGAATCCTCTTGGTCGCCTCCACGTCGCAGTCGTCTTTGCTCCGCCACCACTTGCTGCACAGTCTGTGTTGCCATCAGTGCCATCAGTACAAAGTTCTCACCTGCAGCCACACTCCACCTGGGTTCCCTACGAAACCACGGCAGTCCTTAGATTTTTAGATCAACTGTTTCTAAGCTTAGCTCGGAAACATTCTCGTTTACATACTCACTTCTGGTTCTGTCCTTCGCAGATCACTCCCCATACGATTCCCCCTGTTTCCTTCACAATAAAAGCGTCACTCTTACCATGTTTCTGGGTTTTATTTCAGCCTCAGTATAACCTTGGTTTGATCCTTTCAGTACTCATTAGACATAAAGTTATTGCAAGTTGCAAACGCAACACGAAAAACAAAGTAAAAATGAAGCAACCTTTTTAAAAAGATACAAAATATAAAACATGCAATTATACTCTAGTAAAAATGTCATTTGTGTTCTAATTATTATTATACAATATATGACAAAAAAAAGTTGTAGAAAAAAGTTTATTTACTTTATATAAACTATTTACCTTCACAAAATGATTCATATAAAAGAAAATCAAAATAAATGCTCACTTATCCTTTTTTTTTAATTATTATTATTATTATTGCCAAGTGATGCTTTTGCCTGTGTCTCAGTCATATAAATAATCATTGGATGTTCATCTACAACTCAATGACTTTTAGTGTCAATCTAATTAAAGATGGCTGCCACAGCCAACTGACGACTGAGTCAGTTTTACAGATATTTATATAAAATCTGATGTAGATCCCCTACACATATCTGAACACTAACAGATTGTGTTTAAAATTTTACCATTAACTAATTGCATTCAACTCTGTTAGCAAAATATTTCACAAATCACTGGACATATTTTAATTAAACTTTGTGTCACTCCAATCCAGGATGGCTGCCACAGACAACTGACCTTAAAAACACACACATGGCTATAACTCCGTCAGTTTTACAGATAATGAGCTAAAAGTTGATGTGGTAGTAGCTGAGAGTCATCCTCAACACATACTCTGAGCATATCTGGTGATTTAGCATATGATTGTGCACAATGATTTTTTTAGACTTATGTTTTTAAATGTGTTTTTTTTTTCTTATCTAGAAGTGTCAATTTGGATTTGAAGGATAAAAAGAAGAAAAGCTAATTGAAAATGGATAAAAGTGAGAAGTTTTCTGTGAAGTAGGTGTGATGAGCTATTCTGAAACACGAGCTGCTTCATTCAGTCAGATTTCTTGAATTCACATGTTTGAATCACAGTTTGCCTTCGTGTCAGAGGTCCTCCCACCGACAGCAAACTGTGGCAGCCTCCACACAAATAAACACAATTAGATTGAAACATGGTTCAACCAGCGTAATGAGCCACATGCATTAAAAGGTGCTCGACTAATAAGGTCAGAAAACAAGAAAGTTTTTAAATAATTAGAATTGTCAATTAAACAAATGGGCTTCATAAGTGCTATACTTTTCCTGCACTTAGCTGCTTTTAGTTCAAAGTAATCGTAAATTGGATTAATAAGAATTCTTAATTAACGCAATTTTGTAGTTTTGGTTAATTCTTCGTAATAATGTAATTTGTTTTGACTGATTTGAGCAAACTTTCAAGCAAAAATACCACAGTTTTACTCGTCCAGTCACCTCTGAATCAGTTGACATTTTCTTGTTTTATATCACCAAACCAATTTTTTTAACATGAACAAAGAGCATTTTTAGAAATATCTCAATGATAATAAAAAAAAACTTTTTTTTTTTTAAACACGTACAACAAAGACAACCAAACCAGTCTTTAGTTAAACTTTAATAAATTCTTAAACGTTTATCTTTTTGTTGGAAGAGAACTGGACTTAATATATTTATTAATATAATGTTATGCATCCAGAACTTTAGTCTTTTTCAGTATTTTGAGCGATAAGAGATAAAAGACAACTTTAGTGATCCCGCAGGAAATTGTGCCAGACTTTCAGTACAAAGAAACATACACAAGGAATCACACAAGATATATAAAAAAAATATAACAGGGAATATAAACAATAACAGCGAGTATTAAAATACTAACAATTTTGGATTTGTTTTCAATCTTTAGAACCTCAGTGTAAAAGTTTGGCATTAAAGCTTAGAGCTTACCTAATTGAAATCACTAATAGACAACGTAATAGTTGAACTAAGTTTTCAGACTAAGGTCATATGTGAAGAAATGAGGAGGCTCTGCAGTCTTTTTAAACTTTGTGTTTATCTGTGTTCCCAGCAGGCACTGCCCCAGGACTGTAGGATGACCGGGAAGAGCCTGACCAGCAACGTAACCAACAAGAATGACCCGCGCTCCCTCAACTCAAGAGTCTTCATCGGGAACCTCAACACGGCTGTGGTCACCAAGGCTGACATCGAGGCCATCTTTGCCAAATACGGGAAGATAGTGGGCTGCTCCGTGCACAAAGGCTACGCCTTCGTTCAGTACGTCAGCGAAAGGAACGCTCGGGCCGCCGTGGCCGGGGAGAACTCCAGAGTCATCGCTGGACAGTCTCTGGGTAAGAAAACGGTCAATGCAAGAAATTCTGCAGAAATGTTGAGTGTTGAGTAACTTTGAAGTAATTTTCCCAAAAAGCTGAAACTGAGCTGTTGAAGCTTAAAGTAGCAAAACTAGAGTTAAAAAGACATACATTATAGCTAAAAGCTATAAAGAGAAACGTTTTAGTTTAGAGGAAGGAACTTTAAGTAGTATATTCCTAGCTAAAAGCTCAAAGTAGCGCAACTCGGGCTAGAAGGAGTAAAATGCTTGCTACAAGGTAAAACTTGCAAAATGATATCTAAAAGCTCAAAGTATCAAAACATAGCTAAGATAAAAGAAGCAACACTATCTAAAATAAAAATGTACCAAAACAGTAGCCAAAAGTTGAAAGCTGTAAAATGCTAACCGAATGTATCAAAGTGCTACCTAAAAGCTATAAGTAATAAAATTCTTACTCAAAAGTAAAACTGCCACAGTTCTATCCAAAAACTATAAATAATAAATCAGCTAAGTTAGAAGAAGCAACAAACTATCTGAAAACTAAAAGTTGAAAAGCGTTGCAAAATAGTTGCACAATGCAAAACATAAAACTAGCAAAATGCTAGCTCAAAAGTAAACTTCACAAAATGCTATCAAAAAGCTACAAATTGCAAAACACTAGCTAAAATATAAAAGTATCAAAATGTTACCTAACAGTTTAAAGTAGCACAACACTAGGTAAAAGCAGAAAAAGCAAGTTAAAGTTAGTAAAATGTTGGCTCAAAGCTGAATGTAATGAAACTTGCTAATAAAAGCTAAAGGCTAGCTAGCTACTGAAGGGTGGCAGCTCCTGAGCAAAACATATCAGTAGGCTGGACATTAATTTCCTGAATACCTAACCACAACAGTTTTACGAATTGCATTACTTTTTTTTTCTGCACAAACTTTTTTGGTTGCCTTTTCCCTCCCTTCTGCATGTCGAGGTTGTGTCTCTTGAAAAATAGTCCCGTCTAATAAATTTGAAAAACAGACGCCTCCCACGCCCACATCCACCCCCCACACCCGGAACGGAAGTATTTTTAATTTTAACTGTATAAAATAAAACAGACCAGTGCACAGCTTTCTGAATTGGGTTTCTAATTTGATTTGAAGTAACTATTCTGAAATAATAATCCAGATTAACAGCTAAATGGGAGAAGAAAAAAAAGTTCAGTGGTTCCCTCTGTTTGCTCCAAATGGATTTAAACAGAATATCTCCACTGTTGGACTCAGCAGGATTCACAGCACCTCTGAGCTCCTGTTAAGTCAACTATTAGTGGTCGTAATAATGTGCTAAAATCAGCTGAATGTGTCCACCAGGCAAAAACATTGACACCAAATAAGACTATTGTGGGGGAGTGGTGGCGCAAAATGTGAAGCACCAACACCTGCTTCCACTCAGTAACAGTAAGAGTTAAGGGTTAACAGTAAATAAGTAAAAAAACTGAGAATGAATTACTACTAATACATTAAAATTCCATTTGGAAAAATACCCAAAACAAAACAATACACAGCAAGCTCAGTAAATAAGTCATTTACATTATTTATTAGAAGGAACTACTTTGTGGGGCGAATGAATTTTTTATTTGCCCCTATGGACCGGCCACCACTGCCACTGAATCCCTCAAACAAACAAAAATAAACTCAACATTTATTTCAGTACAGTAGTTAGATTATTTGCCAACGGGCCCCTGGATGCAGTTCTAGTAAAGGTCCTCAAAGATTCCTACAAACAACACACTTCACATAGAAAGAGATGTTTGTTTTTGTGCACTCATTATACTCTGTGTGTCTGCATTTGTATCTTTTCTGACCATGATTTGCTTCCCCACTGTAGTTATTACATCTGTTCTTTAAATCTTTAGATATTAGTTTTAGTATATTCATTTTCATCTAGTTTTAAACTGTTTAGCTGATATAATGAATTTACATCATGTCGGAGTCAGAGTCACAGTTTCTTTATTGTTATTCGCACCTCATGTGGTACATGTGGTGGAGTGAAATTATGTACACAGGGTCCCATGTCATTGTAATATAAAGAAACATGTAAAACATGTATGGCAAAAACCAATGCAGACTTGTTCCTGTTTTTAGTATTCTACATCACTTTACATTATAGCTGTTTTTGTTTCATTTTTTAATATAATTTTCTTTAATTTATTTTTACCAATTTATATCCTTTCTTTTATGATTGTCTTCCGTTATTATTTGCTGTTGTTATCATTCTTTGTTAAAATCACGTTTCTCTTGTAAATGAGTCATCGAGGCTCTCTGAGACTAACCTGTATAAATAAAGGTTGAATGAATGTAAATCTTATTTGCAAATGCATTTAAACAATTGTTTTTACCAAACCTGTTTACAAAAATAAAATCTCAATATGATATAAAACCAGTAACCACAAGATTAGATAAAAACAAGCCAAGCGTCATAAAACTGAGGTGAGCACCAAGAACAAGATATTTTCATTCATCAGAATAAAAGTGTTCAAATGCGATTTTGTCCTGATGCAGTCAGACCTTCAACTTTGATGTTTGCTCCTTCTGTAGCGTGAAAGTCTTTCAATTGATTAATTTAATTTGTTGACATTTTCTTAAGACATCAAGCTACGTCCGGCTCCTTCATGTCGTTCTGTGACAAATCTAGCTGCTGTCTTAAACTTGGTACGATAATCACCGGAAATGATTTAATCATTGGAGCTTCATGGTACCTTGTATAACTCAGGAGATGAAAAGATAGAGGCAACATGGAGGTAAACATAGAGCGATTTATGGTCCACATGCTGATTTAGAAGTTTGTTATAAGTTTGATAGATCCCAGTAAATCTTTCTCTTATTGCTTATTGATTTGTTCAGAGCCTCTTCAAGGAAAATGAAAATCCTCTCTGATCCCATCTCCGTCGTTAAATATGAATGAGAGCTCTGCGGGGTCACAGCTCTGCTTCCACCTTGAATATGCCCAGTTTCATGCATTTTTGTCCATGGAATTACACATGGCGGTGGAAGAAATGCAAAGAGGAGTTGTGTTTAAAGATCATAAATAATTTCTTGCAGTAGGAAGTGTGATAGTTTACCAGGAGAATTTCATGACTGGAAACTGAAGTGAGACTTGAGGAGCACATGTCATCAGCTAGGCTAGGCTATAGCTAGCCAAGTGACTGTTTTTAGTTTTTTTAGAGGTTTATTATTAGCCAGTGTAGTTGTAGCATTCTTTCATATTGGTATGTTGTGTTTGGAAAACACTTGTTTGATAAAGCTGAAGAACAACTAAAACTTGTACTTTTTTGGCTAACTTTTAGCCTAGCCATTAGCCTAGCTGTTAGCCTAGCCTGTTTAAAGATTTAATTCAATACAATTCAAAAATACTTTATTAATCCCAAAGGGAAGTTATTTGTTGTAGTAACTCGTTATCCTCATTTCATTAAGAGATGTTATAGATACTGATGGCTGTAGGCAGGAAGGATCTCTTGTAAAGGTCATTCCCACAGTGGATCCTAAGAAACTGGCTGCAGATGCCGTCCGATCTGTCCACCCAGACTCAGCTGGCCTCTCAGTTCCCCCGGGCTGTAGGAACGCCCGAATGCCGGGCAGAACTCCTCCCAGAGCGATGGCCACTCCTCCCAGCAGTCTGCTGAGCTCCTCGTCGCTGCGGACAGCCAACTGTAGGTGTCGAGGGACGATCCTGTCCTTCCGCTGTCATGAGCCGTGTTTCCTGCTAGTTCCAGGATCTCAGTGGTCAGGCAGTCGAGCACAGCTGGCAGGTAGATGAGAATGCGTCCACAGAACATCCTTTTCAACTAATTTGAGATTTAGGGCAGTAGTTGAGATATTATTTGAGCTTTTGAGATGTTAATCAGCTGCTGTTGGTTGTAGAAAACTGCCTTGTTGCCATGGTTACGCATCATAACAAATGTCCAAAACTAAAATAGTTACAGTAAAAATCCTTCCAGCTGCACAGCGTCCGATACCAGAGGAAACAATCATCCAAAAAATGTGATTTACATCCAGAAAAAGAGGAATTAAAGTTTCCAAAAGCAAAATCTCAGAATGAAAGTAACAGAGCTGCTCCAACATGCAGCCACCTGGAGCGGCGCAATTCTAGAACAATTTACCAGTTTCTTCTAACTCCATGTTTTGTCACGGCTGATGAGGTACTATTGATAACCTTTTAACAGAACGTCAATTCAAACTTGACCAAACTATCCATTTAAAGGTGAGATAAACGATCCTGGTGGCAGATTTTAGACCTTAAATGTAAAATTTAATCAGTGTTTACAGTTCTGCATTTGATTATCTGAACAGTTGAGCCTCGTTCTGCTTCAACACATAAAATACAGTAAATCAATATTTCTGGTTCTTACACTCCCTCCTTATACTTATAACGTTTTTTCTGTCAAACAGTGTGGCGGTTTCTCGGGCAGATACCACATTTCCTTGAGTTTTATTGACGTATAAAACCATAAATTTTGTTGCAGAGTGTTTTTTGCACCCGTTGTGATTGGTAAACTTTGATGCGGCAACATAACTAAAGCATTTATTTAGATGAGTGCAGTATTATAATGTACAAAATAAAACATTCTCTGAAAAGGTTTAATATTTTAAAATATTCTTTTCAACAGTCTGGAGCTGGAGCCAGGAAGTGATTCACTTAGCATAAATAATGAGAGCAGCCAGCATATTCAGAAAGAGGTAGTTAAAAAATGTCTGCTGTTGCTGCTCTCAAACCCACTAATGGAAATGTTGTGTCTGGCTTTCTGTTTCTTTATAAATGTCAGCTGCGGGTTACATGCAGCCAAACAGCTGTTTCTCCAGGAAGTCTTTCTGCCTCACAGCAAAGAGCAAAGATAAATGAAGCTGCCTGTGTTAACACCTATGTGTATGAAAATAGCTGAACTATGTACAATGTGTTAATTAATGAACTTCAGAGTCTGCAGATTTGCACACGAACCAGAGCCTGACAGCTGTTTTTAGCTTAACTAAGCTAAAAGACTGTTACTTGTTTAA